ACCTTTAGCATGTGCATATAAATCCACAATTTTCAAAGTTTTTCAAACTTTCATTTTTGCAAATTATTAAGGTAGTATTTGACTAAAACAAAGTGTAGCTGAATACAAATGGCAAACAGAGGCAAAATTGTGCAATATGTATTCAACTATGGATATTTGTATTTGAATACAAGTCCTGCTATATTCAACGATAAAGATCTGTATTCAAATACAAGTCCTGAAATTTCAAATTTTCATAAGGTTGGAAGGATTGTATTCGACTATACATGTCTGTAAAGGAATACAAATTCGAATTAGTGCATATTTTCCCTGCTAGAACCATTTCAGATTAATACAAAGTTTCATGATTGATTGTGAATAATTGTATATTTATTCAAGAGGTATTCTATGATGTACTATTGTACATCAAAAAACTCACCAAGAATATGAATATCTTTCAAATCATATTTTTCAATCAATTCATCTACTGTTTTTCAATGTGTTCATATCATTTTGACATAGACTTTTTGTGCATAAATTTCATAATAAAAAAATGTTTATAATCTCTTGAACACTTATTGGTTGTATATTTCTTGATTTTATTCATTGAAAGAGAGGATCAAAAGTATCAAGATATTCAAAGATCATTCAAAGTTGTGTGTAAATTATCAACCGTCTAAATCTATATTTTTTCATTGATTTTAGTAATATTCTTTGTATGTAAAGAAGTGGTTTGTACTTTCTACAGGTATTTGCAAGTCGAAAGTTTTGTTCTTTATATTTGTTGGAAATGGTCATTTGAATCGGGGTGATTCAAAGTCCACCACTATTTTGATGCTTGTGAAATTAAGGAAGTGGTGGACTTCTTTGTTGTGCTAAAAAGATTGTAGGATAGGTCTTGGTGTAAGACTTATACAAAGATTATAGCATAGTGGAAATCTCTTACGGTGTATAAGGGGACTAGACGTAGTCTCGGATTGTGAGAGGAAATAGTATAATTTTGTGTGTCGTTTATTTTTTATGCATTTTACCACTTTGATCATCATATTCTAAACCAGAAAATAAGCCGATATTGTCTCTAAAACCATAAATTTTAATCACCTAATTTACTCCCTCTTAGGTTTAGCTCTGATACTTACAGGTTCTTATTTCTAAAACCTTGTGAATTACCCTAGACATAACTCTGCAGGCGGCCTCCTTGAAATAATTTTTTAATCTCCTGCTTCAAATGGTGGAATCTAGTCATCGATATGATGGTCTCGTATCCCATGATATTTACATAATTTATCAAAATTGCTTCACATGGAATCTACTTTCGAAGCGTGGGGCTAAAAAATTATCCTGGTATGGTAGACATCTTGAAAGATGTGCTCATTTATTGTGTTCAATGGCGCGAAGTGCCCAATTGGATTTTGAGTGGGTTTAGAGATATCTTTAACTTGAACAAGTATCACATTTCAATTTCTCCAATGTCCAATTATATCATACTTTCTGTTACCTCATTATTTCACCTATCTGGTTCTTTTCTCGGTATTTCTTTCTTCTCCTTTAATATAACACCCTGCTGTTTCCATGATCTCCTTCATTAAGTATGCATACTTTTGCACCAAGGACTAATTATAATTCTCATCTCTAAGGCCATTCTAGAAGGTCCCTACAAACATTTTCTGGTTCTGATGAATGACCTTGGTGGTTTCTTCATTAAAGAGGACCATGTACTCTAGCAATGACTCAGAATGACCTTGGGGAACATTAAAATTGTCATGGTGTAAACCTTCTTATGTTTAGTAGCTCAAATCTAATTAATCATCTTCTTTGTCAGGTTCTGATAACTAGTTATTGAAAATCTTAAAATGCTCATATATCATCGGATGGTTGTTTCCTTCAGAATGAAAATATAACCGGTTACGTGATTTGTGTAACCGGTTACCATCCTATAAATTTTGAAAATGTGCTTTTAAAAGGCTTGAATTGAGTGATTTTGATGCATGAATGCTTACGAACATTAGAGATGAAAAGATGAATGATTTTCTAAGCATATAAGGATATACATAATGTGAATTGTAATTGAATGCCTTTCCTTAATGGTAAATTTCTTTTAATTCAACATCCAATGACTTTTGTAATCTTTAAATTTGATTGAGTTATACTTTAACCTTTTTCTTATTTGATAATCTTTTGTCTTCATCAAAACTAAACCAAGATGATGAATATCTTCTTCATAACTCCCCCTTTTTGATGATGAGAAAATATATTGATGGGAATTTTTTGTTTGACACTTGATGTTCCCCCTATCATATATATCTCCAACTTTATTTTGAAATTCATGCTTTGTCTTTGCTATAAAAAAATTAACAAAAACAACCATTTCTTCTCCCCATTTTTGATATTATAAAAAAAGTGTAAAATCCAAAGTAAAGTAATATAGAGAAAATATACATCATATATTAAAGTACTTATCTTCTTCACAATTATTTGATGCCAACATTAATATCAATGTTGATGCTCTTTGAAAGCTCCAATCTTTTCAATTCATCTTCAACCAAATGAAACTTTAATTCTACCATATCATATGGTCTTATTGTATCTTTAACAACCAATCTTAATTTAATAATTTTAGCACATGATTTGCAAGTACCACCTACAAGAAACGATGAATAATACTTTCTAGGTACCCAATATTATTTGGGTCCTTTTGGGTTAGTTTTTTTATCTAACTATTATATCTTTCTTCGACGAAACTGGTCTCTCTGCTTCTAATGAATCATGTTACGAGGGTATCGAGAGTATGACACACAACTGTGTTGTCACCCTTGCTAGGTTATTTCCCTTTCTTGGTTACAGGAGTCTTGGGGGAATCTCGCCCCTTTATAAATAGATTCTCTTAACCCTTAGATAAAGTCTCCCTTGGCATATTTCTTCAGATGCTCCTCATATACCAAGCGTTCTATCTCCTTCTTGAGCTGATATCACTCTTCAGTATGGTGTCCCTTTACTTTGTAGAACGTACACCAGCTATAATGTCTAGGCCACATAATATATGCCTTTGGAGATGTCGATTGAGGGATGTTGTGCATGTGGAAGATTTCTTGCCATATATGTTCCAGGAAAGTGTCTAGAGGCGTGAAGCTCTCTGGGGGCTTTCCACTTCGCTTAAACATGACTTTATCCCTGCCCAACAATGTATATTGATTCTTTCATGATTGTTGTGAGTTGTCAGCATTGGAAGTGCACTCTTTCATATCTCAGGCTTTCGTTTTAGAATTGCTTTCCTTTTCTTTGTTATAACATTTTTTCTGTCACAACTTCGACCAAGAACTCCATTGGCCTCCACGTGAGGGATTTGTTAAAGTTTCCCACATTGAGCTCATTATGAAATAATCATATGAGCATTTCCTGATTAGGGTGAATTACCTTGATCATCGCCATATTGAAGCATGTGAGGTATTCCCTTAGGGATTCAAAGGGGCCATGATGAATATTGAAGAGAATGGCGGCGAACATCTTTCTGTGCCTGCTTGCTGCAAACTGATGGACCCATTTTTTAACCAAGTTCTGATAGCCGGTGATGGGGAGTCGAGGTAGGCCCATATACCATCTTACGATTGCGTCTCTGAAGGTGTCAAATAGGAGTTTTCATTTCAGGGTTGTCATGCCCCAAATTTGTCCTACCATTTCATTCAAATCATATGACTTGTGCATCTTATAAATCCCATGTGCATACATCCCATTAGGTCATCTAAAATTGCATATGTTCACTAAAAACAAGGCTTGATATTTGGGATCAATGGTCATGGGAGTCGGAGCTTCACTTATGCACTAGGGTTTCTAAATTGTTACATGGTTATCTCACTTAAAGGTTTTAGAATCATGGGCTAGAGTTTATCCCTTATACTCAAAGTCATCAAATGAATCTTCAACGATTGGATTATATCAGAAGTTACTCTTCTCAACATTTTGGCTTCATTCAACACATGAAGTAGCTTCAAGGTTGCATACAACGCAAGCCACTCACAAGTCACCCAAGGGTCGTAAACTCTGGTATTGAAGGTCATCTTCTTATGTTCATTATCTTCACATGAATAAGGGTTTATTTTCCTAATCATGTTGACTTCAAGAGGAGTTTAATAAGAAGTTTGTTTATCAGTTTATCTCAGCATGATCTCAAGACATTCATTCAAAAGGCCTTGAACTCAGGTATGGAAGTTCTTGTGCATCATAGTTCAATTGGATAGCTCTTTTCTAGCCTTGGGCTTAAACATGAGGTTCTTCAGGATCATTTTCTTGTGCTTGCAATCATTATTTGAGTTAGGGTTTATTTCCCTATTCATGTGGTGGACAAAAGGCTTTCTTATGAGATTATATTCATTAGCGAGGAACATGATTCTTTAGTGCATTGCTTGGGTTACAAGTTATGGTGCAACATTTGATGTATGCATGTCAAATTACCAAAATCAAGAAGGAGGAGGTCATAGTTCATTCAAGTTACATGTGGAATTTCAAAGTAAGAACGGAGGACGAAAGTTCCTTTATTTCTTGAAAAAAACCAAGTCATGACAAGGTCTCCACCTTTTAAAGGAAGTCAATTTGAATTCCTAAAGTTCATGGTGACTTTTCAATAGTGTTTGGCCGTGACTACAAAGGCACTTTCAAAGAAGATTCAAATCATGGAAACTACTTGAAAAGAGCATCATATTTCAAAAAAAATCAAAATTGAATATGCATAGTCAATATTGATTCTTCAATATGATTTATGGACTTGAAATAAGATGCGGAATTTCATTCAAAATTTACACAATTTACAAATTGCATTCGAGTGCTATCCTATTTCGACTTCATTCAAGATAACAAACTTCCATTCCATTTACACCTTGAAAAAAATTACACAAGAAGCGAATATTACATCAAAATACTTTTGAACCTATGTTTGCTAATCTTCAAATTGCAAACATCAATACAACTTCATTGATCTATGCTTTAAGCTTCCAAATGCCTCAGTTTTTCATTCGAACTCTATACTATCATGACAAACCAAACATGCCATTATATGAGCAGTCATGCCTTGCATTAATCATCATGCTACAACATTGAAGCTTAGCCATCCAACCTACATAAAAAACAATCAAAAGTTCAAGACAAAATCAAGTTTCAAGCCATGTTCAGACCTGCAAAACTGAGCCATGCCATGCTTACACCTTGTTGATCACTTTCAGGCCATCAAATCTTCCAAAATTAATCCACCTTCATGCCTTCTTAAGCATTACAGCCTTGCTGCAGCATGACCAAAAGCAACAGCCTTGCAATAAACATACCTACATAAAACCCCATCACCATATTATAGCCGTGAACAACTTCACATACATATTCGAGTGCAACCAAATCAACTTTCAAGGGCATACAATCTATCACAGTTAGCAGTCGAAAGAAAATATTCCAAAAAAAATCAAAATAGCTCCAAGTAAATTAGCCAATAACTAACTATAAATAGAAAATTTACTAACTAACAGTTTAACAAAACTTTCATAACAGAAACATAACAACAAAGCCCCAACAAATAATAGAGATTCAAATCAGCAACTAACCTAACACCTACTAACTATAACAACTAACTAAATCAGTCACTGAAACTCCCAACCAACTCTCTAACAGATTGTAACATAATATGTCAGCTCATGTAACTGAATTCCACCCTTTAATCGATTCAATCATCACCCTTCATCTTCTAACCAAAAATCACCACCAAAAGGCTCTTCAATTTTCTCTCTCTCTGAACTCCATCTTCACCTTCACTCTCCATTGTTCAAGCTTCCATCACCATTAATCGTTCTTCGCCTCTTCTCTTCACCCTCTCAATCGCAACAAGCCTTCATCTTTCTCATCTCTCACGCACAAACTCTCTACATACAACAGCTCAACACACTGCAAGAAATAGAGAAAGAAGAAGAACAACATAACCAATCGAAACATGCAGCAACAACAACACAGAAACAGAGGCATAGCAAGGAAGAAGAGGAACAAGAGCGTACCTGAAGATAATCCCTCAAACTCGATTCCTCCGCCACGCCGAGTCTTCAATCAGGTCTGTTTCACCTTTGTTCTTGTGCGTTCACGTACGCTTCGTCTTCTCCGATTTATGCTCCCTTTGTTTGATCTAGGATCCATGAGTTTCTTTAGGTTTAGGTTTTTCGACGTGTTCCTTTAAGTCGTGTTTGAGAACTCTAAGCATGAGGTGATGATAGAGTAGTGTTTGAAAGGTGAGGAAATGGCTGAAGGTTGGTGATTATCCATGGTGTCGCCGCTGCAACCAATTTCGGCGAGAAAGAATGAAGAGAGATAAGGAGGGAGCATTTAGGCTTCGATTTGGTCTCAAAGGTCACAACGTAGTTCATACGACGTCGTTTTTATGCTTACGGCCAGTTTTCCTTAATTTTAGTTTTCTTCAAAACTCAGAAAGTCAATTTTGATTAGGGGTGTGCAAAAAAACAAGTTATACATAATCAAATTGGTATTCAAATTATTCCACTTTTTAAAATTCAACCCAATATTATATTTTAAAACTGGGCCCTTTTAATAAAATTAAAAAAACCCAGTATCCATATGTTAAACCGGTTCAGCTTATTGGGTACTAGATTCAAAACTGTGTCTCTTTTTCACTTATCCAGCCGCACAACGAAATCAACCGAAATCCAAAACCCTAATCCCAAATCCAATGAAATCCATGAAATATTTCTTCATATTCAACAAAATCATCTAAACCACAATTATGGGTTTACTAAAATAGTTGTAAAATCGATGGATTCGTTCTTTAAGTTCAATAAAGTCGTCCTTCGACAACATCGTCAAGCTCTCTTCTGTGTTTGAGGTAAGTCAATTTCTACTTTGAAGCTTTTTAGTTTTTGTTGTACCCTAAAATTTGCCCTCCCATATTCCTCAAGACTTGCCAAGAATAATCTTCAAGTTGCCGAAGTTGGCTCAAGGATTGGACAGTCAAGTCACCTCCTAAGGCAGTCAAGTCAAAATTAGGGTTTTGTGTGGCATCAAGTTCCTCACATCCAAATGACCTCAAGTGCTCCCCAATGTCCTAATATGTTCTTAAGTTCATCCATGTCAAATTGTAAGCCTTGCAGAGGAAGTTTGGTCAGTCAATTGCTCAAGAGGCCCAAAAATCGATTGTGCTAGGGCAAAAGTCAACTGTGTCCCAAATACAGTCAAACCTCAAGATTTTTTGTCAACATTCTCATTTTGAAGGATAATTCATCATTTGATCAAGGATTGATCATGATTCATCAAGGATTTCTCAAGATTCATCAAGATTCAAAAGTTGTTAAATTAGGGTTTTACAGGAAAAGTCAACTCAACTTTGATCAAGCATAACTTTCTCATACTTTATGAGAAATGACCCATCCAAAGCTCATTTTAAATAGGATGCAATTTCCTACAATCTATATTCACACTCCAAGATCAAGAAATTCTCTCACAAAAAGTTACAAATTTGGACATTATAGGTCATTTTTGAAAGTCAACAAAAACACCTTTTTTTCCAAAGCTTATAACTTGAGCATGGAATATCAAAATGAGATGAGACCAAAAGGGTTGATTAAAGTACATCTCAAGGTTTCTAAAAAGTTCAAGAACACCTCCAAAAGTTCAAAATTGAAGAAGTTATGCATTGTTGAAGTTGGGCATTTTTCCAAATTTGCCAAAAGTCAACTATCCTCAAAACTCCAATTTTTGACAAAAGGGCCCACTTTTTTCCACTTGATATAGTCTTGTCATGCCACACACGTGTCCCGTATTTGATTTCATGGCCATTCATTTATTTTTATATTTTATTTAATTTTTATTGATTTAATTCATTTTAAATCAATATTAAATCAAATAAAATCTAAAAAATTGATGTAAGGGGATTCTTGTGATCATTACAGCTTGAAAATATCATGTGATACTCAATCAAACTCGTGCCAAGTCAAAACAAGCACAAAATCTCAGATTTGATGCAAATATGGCAACTTGATTATGGTGATCAAAAGCAAATCTTGATTCTTCAATGCATAAGGTTTAATGCCCAAATTTTGACCTAAACACATTCCATTATATGCACACAAGAGAGGAAGATCAAGAACACGCATAGAACACTGCAAAAACAGCCACACAACTTTGAGAAAAAAGCTTGAAAAGTGAGAGATCAAAAACAACCTTGGAGGCCAATTCAGACCAAAAGCAAAACGTAGCTCCCTTCCTTGACATCCAGTGGAGCCATACCAATCAAAAGGAAGCCTTTTCATCGCTTATAACGCACTGTAAGTCTCCATAAACCTTGCTCTGAACATGAAATCGAAAACATCCGTTCTTGCATCTTTTCTTCAAAATATTGGCATATTTGTGATTGTTATTTGATTTAGAACGTTTTTGTATTATTCAATTTCATTCTTAGGCCCTGTATCATGATGCTCGAACCTAGGGTTCTTATTCTTGTTTTTTAGGCGTTTCTTATGCAGGATAAATTGAGACAAACAATGGTTATAGGAATGATGAGGAGGCAGAGACGAACATGTCTATGTTCTTGAATAGCATTTTCATGGCCTGGAGCGAGTTTTAGAACCATCCCACGAAACTTCCTGCGGATAAAAATCTGCAGGTAAATAACCAGGGTTGCGTTGAAGAAGATGATGGCGTGTCTTTGTGTCATTGGTTCATTCGAATCAGTGGCGCGCTTTTTTTTATTTTTACAGGCTTAGTGTTTTGTTTATTATATAATATTTGATTCTTATTACAATAACAAATGAAGCAGTTGGGTGGAGTGGTTAAGCGCGCATGCAATGAGCATTGGGACCTGGGTCCGAATCCCAGGTCCCCCAAAACTTTGTTATATTTTTTCTTCAGGGATTCATGTGCATTTCTCCAGGAGTGGATCACCATACACCTCCAGATCTCAAAGGCTATGTGGCTACCAAGGCAAGTCCAATGGCTCAGGATGGAGACTCGTCATACTCCCTGGTCAACAAGCGTACATTGGATCACAGAAAGTCCAGCAGGCTAATTGGATTTGGGCCTGAATATTGCTGAATCTACCACCAAATTAAGCCCACACCCCCTACTTTGGTTTATTTCTTTTTCTCTCTATTTATTTTATTTAATTATTATTAACAAAATTAACCAATTAATATTTTATATAAAAAATCAGAAAACCCCAAAAATAATATTTTTTTTAATTTCACTACTTTATTATTTTTGTAAATAAATTGTAACCAATTAATTTAGTTTTTAATTAGGTTTAATTTAACATATTTTGTATTAAATTAAAATTAATATAGAATTAGGGTTTTGATATTTTTTACCATTCTTATCTTATTTCCTTAAATAATAAAAACAAAAAAAAATATTTTCATTTAATAAATTAATTCAATTATTAATTTAGACTTAATTTTTTTTTAGATTCAAAAAATAACAAAAAATATGTTTTATTTGATAAAAAGGGTCAAAATCCTAAGACACTCCGATTTAATTTTCTCGCGCGCGATTAATCTTTGATCAATATTGTAACTGCTTCGAGGATGTAATAGTTTTTTAACTTAGGACTTTATTTATTTATTTATCGCTTTTATTTACTTTCCGCAATTTGATTTTCAAGGGTTTGTTTTTGGCGATGTAAATACCAGACGCCTTGTAATAGCTTAGATTTATTTTCTGCCATTTAATTTCCGCAACTATTAACTGTTAGATGTTTGAATATTAGGCTATGCATGACAAGATCTATCTTAACTTAAAATCAACAGTAGCTCACCATGATATGCAAAGATAAAATAACTGAAAAACAATACACTCGCACATGCGCACTCTTAGGGTACACCTCACTTGGTTGCCTTCGAACGTGGTCATTGAGTATAGGAAGTTTTAGAGGTCGTCCTCTTGTCCAAAGATCATAAGTTGCCTCGAAACAGTTGCCTCGGATAAAATGATCTAAGACATTAGGGTTACCGCTAAGGCATCCTAACATTGCTTTAGTGACCACACGTCCCTTAATCGAATTGACCCTTAAAACTCCAATGACGGTGCTACCTACTCCTCAATAGTGGGATAGCATTGTCTAAAGGACACTTGCACAGTTTAATTCCTTTTCGAGTAGGTAGATGGTCCTTAAGTACTTGCTCCTTTTAAAAACAAAATAAAACTTTTCGCACTTACACTCCTTTCAAACAAAGACTTTTTTTTCAAACCCACAAACACAAAGAAAAGCAAACTTTTGAAAACACAATGAGCAAGTACCTAAGAGCCCGTGGATAACCACGGATAGAAAGGGTGCTAACACCTTCCCTTTCTATAATCTACCTCCCGAACCCGAGAAATATCTCAAAAGGGAATTTTTATGTGCTTTTGTCCTTTCCTTGTTGGATAAAATAAAAGACGGTGGCGACTCTTGCTTACCGCGATATTTTGCGAAAACAAACACAAAACGCGAACCAGCATTCCAAAACAGTCAGTTCATTCCCACCGATCTCCAGAACTGGCGACTCTGCTGGGGAATATTTAAGTGAGGTGTACCTTAGGATTAGATCACTATGTTTTCAATTGTATGCTTTGTATGCTTTAATTTTGTGGGCTTGTATTGGAGTTCTATAGATCCTAACTCGGATTTAGGGATACCCTTTAGGTAAGTAGCAATAAACTGTGAGGGATATGTACGGCGTAGACCGATACGGATGAAGCAGTAGCTACGTTGGTGTGGCACCTTGGTCTGTACCGATATCCCTTGTGTTGGAACGAGGAGAATATGGGTCTTCTAAGGAGTCATTAAGCACCAACTGACCTTAGAACCTTAAATTGACCAACTTGGCCATAGAACAGTAGCAGTATGCTACACTCATTGAGACTAAACTCTCGCGATGATTTCGGCGGCAAGAAAAGGTTGCTAAACTGGAATTATGACTGATTGAGGGTAGTTAGTGATATTGAGATCCTCTAGAACCCGGTTACTATTTTTTAGGACAGGTCTTAACCAACTGAACTGAAAGAGGGTAGTACCTAAGCTCCATGCCAGCCTGAAATCTAAGGGCTCTTTTGTGTGACTTGTGTGCCTTTACCATGTTTGTCTTTTGTGGATACTTGTGGTGTGCCTTTACTATGACATCATGACATCATAACATTGCATACATTTTGCATAAGGACTAATCTATTTCAAAGGCAAAAGGGTTTCATCTTTGCTCTGTTTTGTAGGTCATCATGATGCCCATGCGTAGGAATACTATCCGGATCAACTTTGTCCAAGTACCTACCCTGCTTAAAGATTTGGTTGTCAGGATTCTAGACACTACTTCCTTCATCAGGAG